ATGGAGGACATTATCTTTTTAGATAGGCCATGAGAACTCCTTCTCCAAATCAAATCAACCAGGTCCACCCCAAGACCTCCCTACAGTTGATCGACCTACCAGCTGATCATTTTGGGGGATACTGATATTGTATGAGTACCCTAAAATCCTTCAGTTATCGCTACAGTTGGCAGCAGTGTGGTGTGTCTGGCGTGCTGTAAGAGTTTAAAAATACACGACACATATTTTGACAAGTCTTGGGCTACTGCAAAGTGGGAAACCTATTGGTGTTTATAGAATTTTCTAAGGTCAATGGACTAACAGAAACCAAAGCCCCACTATGCAAATTCCGTAAGTGACAGCAACCCGTCAGTTAAATGAAGTTTTACTCTTGTATCAACAGCGTGCATGATGCACAGTAATGCGGAAGAATAGGCCCTCGTACACAAGCCCATCTGACAACACAGTGGCGTGCAGTCCTACGGGTAATAAGCAGAGTTTATATTCATGTCTAATTACGCAGTGGCACCCGGCTCAATGGTAAGTACTTTTATTCTGAATGATATTGCACAGGATGGATGTTTTATAAGAATAATCGGATTTTAAACAATGAAATGACATCGCCCTGATGATGGAGGTAGCAAAGACCTCTGAAACGTCGGTAAACTGATACCACAGTACACGGCGCAACAACACAGAAGAAAGCCATATTCAATAAAATGACAATTCAATTGAAAATTTTGAATTTTAAGAAACTTCTATCCAGTATAAGAATGGCTATAAATTAAAGTATACGACACCCACCAATAATTTCAAGGCCTTCAGTCAGAATTAACTGAAAACTGTCCACACAGAATCTTACAGTCTACGCGAATCACAGGTGACACAATCGATAGAAAAACGTACATAAAAAATTTGAGAAATCGAGAATGTTTTAAAGTAAATTAAAATTGAGTAAAGAACAAAGACAGAAATAAATTACGGCAATGTTCAAACTGTTGTAGTTTAGATAGATATGTCTGAATATTATCAATCACAGTATCCTAAACATACGGTCCCAGATTCTAAGCTTTACATATGTAAACGTATAAACATATCTGAAGCTGTTTCGTATCTTTTTGCAAGACAGGTGAGCGCTGGAGCCCTGCCATTTATTCTATCACGCTCCCACGGCAGGAAGTATTTGTGGAGGTGTTCATGTGAGCCTCAATAAGTACTGATCGCTTGGTACAGGCCTGCGAGAACTGCAAAGTTCGTTCATTTGTTGGCTAACAGCGCCATTTCACAAAATAAACAAAAACACTAGCAGCACTGCATAACGTTTACCTATTTTTAAATCTCTAAAATTAACCCACAACCCCAGGCAATTTTATCTCATCTCGGGCTCCTACTTCAAATCTTTGTCTCAGTTGCAGGCATCAACATGTTACATGAAACATGTCAGCGATTCTGTGTCTTTGCCTAAATATACATGCGTCAAGTCAAATAGAGGTTTTCAAGGCGGTGAAGAGCTTATTTGTGTGGCCCTTCGGATTATGACATCGTGTAGGTTTGTTAAGTGATTACCAACCATTGTTTCAGAGAAACTTTTTGCCTCTGTCTTCTTCGTGTTAAAATCCAGAACACTATGTTCTGAAACAACTCCGGAAAAAAAACAGTAACAGTAGTGATATGAAACTGTACCTGTGCTTATCATAAAGAATTCTTGTAGAAAACTCATATTTCTTCAAATGGCGGACCTACTCCCCTTTAATCCATACGCCGTATAAAATATATATATATAAATATTGACGAAAAAATCCTAAAAATTACTATAGTACCACGCGATTTTGATAATGCGAAAAATCAGCTGTGTCAGAACCACAACTCACTAAGGCACACGAATCGTGAACTTAAATCAAAGAGGGGGCAGAAATGTTTGACTGCAGAGTCTATGGCGGAGGCTTTGTGTCGCTTTTAACTAGGAGATGTATAATAGTCGAAAATGTAGGTAACGTTGGGTAACCTGTGGTTTGAGTAACCACTTCACACTAACAGCGACGAGAGGCACGACCATCCCTTGTCGGCCGTCATTCAGCATATTCACAGCTATCCTCAGAGCCTAGAAACCGTCTCCTACATCCGAAGCCTGAGGACGCTGAAAAGAGACCAATGTAACATGGCTAATAACTTTGAAATTACATTTAATACTGGCGAAAGAGTTTCTCAGACGCTGAAAAACCTCTAAACCCACATACGCGTACAAATTATTTGATAAACAATGGTAAATAAATATATTTTTCTTAAAGTTTATATAAAACGGCTGTTTAAGGGATCGTCGTATAAAAAGTCGCCTTTGCCGATTGTCATCTGTCATTTTCAATGTCTTCCCCTCATTTATGTCTTCCAATATCAAATATAATTTCTCTTGCGTATCGAACGTATCCCAGCATGTGGTCACCAGTAATATGCGTTCTAATTCTTGGTTAGGCGTTCTGGATTAAGTAGAACAGCTGCTCACGACAGGTACTACCAAATACTGGCGACATGAAGAAACCATGTTTTGCTTTATTTTTCATCATAGTAAGTGGCACAATATTATAATGCGAAAACGAGGGCTGCATAAAATACATCAGCGGACCACTGCAGGTTTAAAATAAGTGTCACACATCCTGTAAGACAGAATTAACAATGGGTACTATATAGTCTTAGTTACTGAGAGCGTCGATAATTAACCATAAGCAAACAAATAAGTTAGATACTATTATATTTTGCTCAACAAATTCCATAGAGCTTAATTCGTCAATAAATTCCCTACCTTTTATAGAACCCACAGATTCATTATTCTATTTCCAAGAACCTGCCACTAGCTGGAACTTTAGCCAGATTAATCAAGTCCATAACCTCCAAGTCTATTTCTTTAGGATCCATCTTAATATTATCCTAACGTCTACGCCTAGATCTCACAAATAATCTCTTCCGTCCAGATTCATGGACCAAAAATTGTCATTTCTCATACTCCCATGCATATTACATAACTTACCCAATTTTCTATCCTTTATTTAATCGCCCTACTAGTATCTAGTGAAGTACACAAAACATAGAACTCACCAACATTAAAATTTCCTGCATCCTCCCATTAGGTACTTATTTACACAATTAAGTTATATTTATTAATTTCCCTCTATTTTATTTCATACCGTGCTCAGTGACGAGCTTGAGTTTCAAGATTATGACACTGCCCTCACGATACGATCTGTAATATTCACTGCAACATCTCCGGAATCGGTACTGGTGGCACACACAATTATCGGGACTGTGAAGTCCTTTGGCCACTTGTGTTAATTACGTGTCCTAATTTGACCTACTTCTCGACTTTATTTTCAGCGCCTCTAGTGTTAGAACTGCTGTACTAGTAATTTTGCTTTTGCTATTCATTTTACGCACGAATCAGGTCTGTTGTATTACTGTCTTAGGCACTCTTCCTAAGATATGTTTAGTGCCAGCAGTAGAAGCATCAGTTCTATTTTTTTTTAAAAAAAAATTCAAACCGTCTTAATTCCTTAGTGATCTGTAAGAAGGGCTTAAGTCAACAGGAATTACTTTCGACAAAAATCCTTCTTCCCGAGCGCCAAAGAATTTTATGGGGAGCTGCTCGCCCGTAGCGAATCCCACGAGCCCATGGTTCCGTTTGATCGCTCTGCTAGGGTTAGAAGCTAGTGAAACCGCCCACATTTACGGAGACACCCGAGACGGGGGAGACTTCGCGCGCCTTAAGCAGAAAGCATACTGGAACACGGTGAGTACGAACCCAGTACCTAACAGACCTCGTTCAGTGTCCTACAGCTAAAATTAGAATACATACGACACTACCATACTATAACGTGACGTCATCTCACACTGCGTTCTCTTACACGTCAGCACTAAAAGAAAATTGCTACCACAATAGTATGTTAAAGACTCAGGCACGAAAAAGTAGTTTCTCTTGGTTTTTAACATTGTAATTAAGCGCCTTGTATTATAGTATGTCTGAAATTAAATCACGCCATTTCCTTAGCAAGAACTGTACCAAGATATTAAAGATAATTAGATTCGCAGTCGTTTCAGACTTTGTACGGTTTCCCACGAGGTCCGCATAAACTACAGTTTCACATTGTTGTTCCAGTATTTACAAATACAGCTGCTTGTTTCCTGTTTCGTCGTGGCCGAGTGGTTATCACTCCAACTTTGTATTCAAAAAGTACCGATTTCAACTAAAAATAGACTATCTTGACTGGAGATTTTCGCGGTTTCCCTCAGTCTGTCCGGGCATGTGCCAAGAAGAACTTAAACTCTTTCAAACTGGAAGTTTATCTGAATAACATTTGAAAATTCAGTTCCTACCTCAAAGAAAACAACGCGTCTCCATGTGTTAACATGCAAAGTTATTGATTGTTAAAACATGAAGTAGTTATAGATAAACTGGACTTCAAAACTAAAATAGGCCACTACCACTTCCTTCTATATCCTTTACGTGATCTTACTACTCATTTTTGTATAGTTTGTGAGTTGCTGATAGTGTGGTTAAATAAACCACAACAAAACTCTCCCCTCCACTCTTCTGTCCCTCTCTCTCTCTCTTTCTTAGTATGCATTGTTATGTAATAATATTTCTTACCCATCAATTAATGCGACCACCAACATTCTAATTTTAAAATTCCCTGTGTAAAATTTCGTAATACTAATGGCTTACTGAGATCATTTTCAGAAACAAAGACAGAAATTATTGTATTACTGTGTGATTTGAACTGTAACTGAATTTTCAGTAAATCTGTTACATAGCCGACAATTAAACCTATGTAAAAAGTGAAGCTTTCGCAGAGACTGAAGTTGGTGAAAGACTCTTGGGTTGGTAGAAGATATGGTTTATTCACCACTCAGCCACCTGGCGCGGCTTGTAACCCGAGAGTCTTTCATCAATTAAAACTATGTCTGAGGTTAACAAAAGTTCAGGGCGTGTGTCTGTCTGAAGGAAGAAAAGAAATCACGAAACTAGGACTTACCTGTTGGAATGCGCTGCCGACGGCGGGATGAGTGCTAGGAACAGGCAGCAAGCAGCAGTGGCCGGCGCTAGCGTCCCAGAAGCCCCGTACTAGCACTGGCGTCGCTGTGGGAAGAACGGGATCCTCCCTCACACAGCGGCTCCCCGGGAGGGACCCAAAAATGGCGAGCCAACCACCGCGGAGGGAGGGGAGGCCATCGAAGATACTATGAATGACATGACCGTCGTATTTTTGGAAGACAGTTTAATTCGCGTGTTCGTGAAGGGGGAGGAGGATTATTTGAGGAGAAACAGCTCCCATTTCCCCTCTGCCCCCTATTTCTACTCCCATGATGAAATAGAAAAGCAGTTGTGAGGACAAGGAGGTGCAGAAACTGACTGCGAATTGAAAAAGGAAATGTTATGGAATTTGAAATGTAAACTGGAGTGAGGGTACTTCGCTGCCCCTCTCCGAAGGGCGAAACAGCTGAGAGAGAATATTGTCTTCCAGAAAAAGTAAGCACACACACACAAGTAAAGCGTGCCTTGCACGGTCCAGTAACAACTATATATAGCCATATACATAGCACCGTCTTCTGAGTCTCGTACCACATCTGGGAAGACACGTGTTCTCCCAAACTGGAACAAAATAATAATTGTTGCGCAATAATAGGTGGGTTCGTCCCTTGAATAAGAAGACGTCCAACCGCCATTTCAGTTAACTCTGAGACGGAACAAAGGTTAATCCTCGGTAACAAGGAAACCAAGCTGGTAGTTGTTTCCTAATCAACTTCTTTTCGGATGGTAAGATAACTTTAAAATAAACGTATTTATTTTTGTTTAACGACGCTTCAAACATCTCAAATTATACTACGTCAAGTTATAAGATGATTTAAGAGAAATTAATTGGAAAGGATGTGGAAGGATGCGGTCCTAGCCAAATTTAAGGCATTTGTATGGACGGACTGATTAAAACCATGAAAAACATCCAGATAGCCGTCCTCTGAGCGAACATTTGAACCTGGGTCCTCCGAAGTATGAAGGAGTGACAACCATTGGACTGCGGCGTTAGGTAAAAATAAATCAACCGATGGAAACATGATGGAGCACTTCTTTTGAATCTGACTGGATTGCAAATAACTCCATGAACAGTCGGTCGGAACGATAACCCAGTTCTTCCTTTTATACTGTCAAATGTGAAATTATTACGTTTATGCTGTAGAAATATCGCATGTGTCTGTATTGCTATTGTTTTATAGATCATTTGGTTTACAAAATACAGTGTAGTTTTAAAGTCGGTGCATCAAAATGACACAGACTGTGTCGAGATTAAAAGGAGAAATATTTTTTTCAGCAAAACTACACGTGTTCAGAGTTGCGCCATCTTACACACCGTTCCAAATTTTATCTTCCCCCTCTTTCTTACTGTCAGTGTCACCCCAGTTTTCCAAAACAGTGATTTTCTGTAAAAAAAATTTACTAGCAAATTCTACAGGTTTCATAGTCAAACGATTTAGCCAGCTGAACTCGTGTGACACATTGAAGGTGCAAATACGACACTCGTAAGTGTCGGAAGATCATAGACAGTGGATGACCCAGATTTTTCTCTGCCACAGAAACCAGTTGCATACATCTTTTCGAATTATACTCTTTTCACCTCCCCAGATAAAACAATAGACTTAAAATACCCGCTCTATTATATGGGCAACGGGCCATGTTAGTGTATCAGTTGCCAACAATAACTCAGTAGCGTCAGGGGTTAATCAAACTACAAGAACTATCGGGGTTGTCCAATACACGTACTTTGCTGGCGTGTAAATTTTATAGGTACGTGTTAGAAATACGCCCGCCGTAAGACCAGCAATCTAATCTAATTAAAGTATTAAAATCAATAACATTTCATCCTTCAGAGCACGAAAAGTGATTTTAACATTTGTTCTCAGGTTAGACGCTTCACCATTTTCCTGCTGTCGCCTGGTTCCTTTCACGCGTTCTCTCGCGAAATGTGTTCGGCCAGGCGCTTGTGCGACTCTTGCAGTAACAGCCCACAAAACATGGAAAGTAAATATCATTAGCACAGAGCAAAAGCGTTCTTTGCGATTTCCTATTAGCTTTAACGTTCGCTTATTA